ATTACTCAGTAAATGATTTACTCCACATCTTATGTCCGTAACAAATTGTGCATCGAGTAAATGACAAGATAATTCTCTATTGCCCAAACAAGAATTACCCAATTACTCAGTAAATGATTTACTCCACATCTTATGTCCGTAACAAATTGTGCATTGAGTAAATGACAAGATAATTCTCTATTGCCCAAACAAGAATTACCCAATTACTCAGTAAATGATTTACTCCACATCTTATGTCCGTAACAAATTGTGCATCATATACTTTGGGAAATTAAAATGCTGCATACCAAATGCACTGGTAGTTGTTTCAAAATGCCTTTTAAACTTTCCAGGTCATTTATATAAGTAATATACAGTTGTCATGAAGTCTTTCACATCAGCAAGTGATTTAGATATACTATCTTTCAATGCTAATTCAACTCTATAGGAAATGCAGTGAATGCCTAGGAGCCAAAGACAATTGTCATTTTTCAGTTTTGTTAACAATCTATTGTAAACTCCAGTATTAACAGAGGCTCCATCAACTGTAGCTGAAACTAACAGGAAATTGAATTTCTCTGCTGAAATTGAAACCTTTTCATCACCCTTGAATACATCATTAACATTCCTCTTTATATTTTTTGCTTCACTAAAGCTATCAATGTCCTGTAAGCCAACAAAAAAACCTGGTATACCTGGCTTGACTGTTCTAATGAAAATAAGTTCTTTTTCACAGCCTGACTTCCATCACTAAGTACTGTGAAAGCTATTGCTGAACATAAAATCACTGCCACTTTCTCATGAATGGCTTTTGCAATAATGCTAATAAACTGTTCTGCTCTATTGACATTATCAAAATTTGAAACCAGTTATTCCCCATTTTGCTTTTGCACTTTAACTAGTTTTGAATGCCCTCAGACGGAAGAGGCTATCCATCCACAGCAAGCTAGTAAGCTTTTTTAAGAAGCTTTCTGTAAGCCCTCTTAGTATGTGCCTGCAGAGCTAAGTTTATTTGAGGTTGAAGAAGAACGCTGGAAGCAGATGGACTATCAATAGCAGTACTACTGGTGCCAGAAAGTCTTCATGTCATCTTCAAGCAACTTTTTAAAACCCTAAAAAACAAATTTATAAACACATAAATTTTGCATAAAATACATTGTAATAAAGATAGCAAGTGTTGAATTAATAAAATAAATAATCAGTAGAATCTGTGTAAAAGATAATCCTTGTGACTGATAACACAGAAATTTACCAAAAATGATGTTATGTATAGGCCTACCAGTTTATAAAAAATAAAATCAATGAACAGATAATACTGTACATAAAATAAAAACATTAAAATTGGTGCTTAAATAAGATAGACCACAAAATCAGTTATTTAATCACACAGGCCTATGAATTTAAACTTCATAAAAGTTGTTTTGGATTTAATAATGGATTTTCCATAATTCAGCTACACAGATTTCAAAAAATAACATTCATTTTTTTCTTTTACGTAAGGATATTTTACAAATCCAGGGGGAAAAGCTCTTAATTAAATGAAATTTCTATTTCATTTACCACCATGAACATTTTTTATTATTTTGTTTGTTAACAAAAATAGAAACAAACTGATTCATTCATCTACATCTTTTCGTCTTAAAACTACATGTTGTGGTCTTTCTTTTATATATATTGCGTTGATATTTTGTGAAAAATCTATACATGATGGACAAAAATGGATATCATTTTTGGATTCAGCTTACAGGAATTACTGTGGAACATGTAAATATTTCAAGACAATAAAACCATTGCAGACCTGTGTTATCTTAATATATTCTCACTTGACAAAATTAAATAACCAAATCTAAAATTCATAATTAACTAGAAAATCATTTAAAGTGCATATCGTCAAGTTAGTCTTTGGCCAAGAACTTATAAAAGCAAACGAAGTTGATGACAATTTTAATAGAAAATAAGCCTAATTAAGTTGCTGAATGTGTCTAACATACTAAGAACTGTATTTCCTCCACTTTGTGAAGATGTTTGCAACTTGCATACAAACATAGGCCCATACAGGCAATGTTTGGGTTTACTTTCAAATCAAAGGTGATATTATGGTATACTGACTGTAAAATGTAAGTAGTTGATGATACAGGCCATACGCATAATGACAAAAAATGAAGGAATACTGTTATAAGTTTGAGTAATGTGTACCAAAACAAGATAAAATATATACATACCTATAGCAAATTCGGTGTGTTTTTAATTCAAATGGAGAGTGACAGTGTACTTCATTATGAATTCAGTGCTGTATGTATATCTGTCTCTTTCTGACTGTGCCTTTTCATTTTTTTTGTATCTTCTCACTGTATTTAGAACAAAGCTTGCACCAAATTTTTGTTACAATGTCTTTTCCTTTGAACAAGAAAATCCGATTTGTCCACTGAGATTCCATTTGCTGAATGTTGATAACAAAACCGTTTTGCTGGCTAAACTGAGACACATTTAAAATTGGAAGTAAATCCAAAACTGAACTATGATGATCTCCAATCAACATGACAGTCCTTACAGCCATATATCATGTAGAAAATCAAAGTAGTTCAAATGCAATTTAGGTCATGTTCAAATTTGTTAAAGATCTTTTTGCTGTTCTGAATTTGCTAATAATTAATAACCAATTTTGTAATTTAAACTTTAACACATTGACTTAATTTTTCAGTTACACATGTTGGATGTCTATATAACAGGACAATATAGTTCAAAAGTATCATATTACTGTGTGCATGTAAGATCACTAGTCAAGGTCAATTAACAATACAGAGATGGGTCTTCCTAAGGTCACAGGTCAAAGGAAATGTCATCACATTTGTATACTCATATTCAAAATTTTTTGAACTACTATTTTATGAATGTATGTCAATAAGTTTGGTACCAAATTGTTGATTATAATTCATATTTTAGTATTATACATTAGTTAACTTCTTAATTTAAAAGTAAATATAAAAAAATCTAAATATAAAAATTTGTGAATCACGTGGTATGTTGAATGCAGCATTGGTTCAAATTAGATGTTTGTGATGTCCAATACAACGTCCACGGTTTCTTATGAATAAGATACTCAAATTATCGATATTTACAAGTTAGAATCAAAGATAAAAGCCTCCTGTCTTTTCTATTTTCTAAGATATTATATTTAGGTAATCAAACAAGTTGGCCCTGCCCACCTCTTCCACCTTTGGAAATACTTGTTTACATACAACTACTTTGTCGAAAGCTCAGAATATATTGATGTACAATATTATGAGATTTAAGCTATTTACACTAAACACTTGTGTTTTTGTGTTATAATTTGTATTCAATTCAGAACAGAAAAAGCATAATTTATATCTGTTTCCTAATTTTTTAAGGTGGTTGCAAAGTTGGTACAGAGATACAATAGTGAAAATAACAGACAAAATATTAAGTTTTTTCTAAAAATGAATGGTTGAATAACTTGATTTATAAGGTACGTGAAGATTTTTGTACCCTGTTAAACTTAAAGATAAATAACTTACAAATCAATGTCACTGGCCCACAACTAGAACTTAATCTGAGTCTCAATCACTATAATTGCTTCCACTTTCGTCTTCGCTCACTGTGTCATGACTTTATTTGCTTACTGTTTTCTCTTAAGAAGGAAGTACACTAATTATAGTTTTACAGGTTCCACAGCTCAACAACAATACAGACTAACTGAATACATGCCCGTTGTGATAAAAATGAGTATACGCATTTTATATGTTGAATCCTCAAAAAAGAAGGAATCCACTAATAACCACCATCCACCCTTATACTGTGTTCCAAAACAGTAAAAAAACTAATTCTGGAACTTTTAAAAGTAAAGCTTTAACTTTGTGCAAATCTCTGTGTGAAGTATATTTAAGACTTGAACCTAGAATATAAGGTATCCTTATATGACAGTAAGAATATAGTAACCCACAAGCAGTGCTATAGAATATATAACTAACAGGCTAAAGAATTTTCAGACCTTACCTCTCATACCAAAGTTCATCATCTATACAAAAGTAGTGAACTGAAGATGTGGACTTCGGTTTTACCGTAGTTCTCAAAGTAGCAAAGTATAGGCGATCTGAAAGCAAAATAATTATTAAGTGAATATCCAATACACATAGTATTATTTACAATGCATTTTACCATATAATAAAATAAGAAGCAATTATATCAATTGGAGGGATGTCTTTCCATGCTTCATGTTTCATTTCTACTCTAGGCATCCCCTCTTCTTTAATTTATTTACAACCCTTCCAAGAAGTATGAAATTTAACGTGAATTACTTATTATAATATTGTCATCATTCAGATGAAGCATAATTTTCGTAGTTTTCAATTTTGTGAAAACAGACAAAATTCAGATGGTGATAAAACCTCCAGATCATTCAGATAATACAAGACAAAGGTGTTGGGAATTATCCACATTCCAGCTCACAAGATATCATTTAAGTGTCATTCACAGTACGAGGCTAAGTGGGTCAAGTGGCAGACTTGATGTGACACAGCTTGTATCTCCATCCAGGGAAGAATAGGTGACCCATATGAGCTGATGAAGAGCCAAAGTGACTAGACAAGAATTGAAAAAGACCCCAAGGTGAACTAAGTACTGAGTCAGAGTTAGGAACAACTTGGAAAACTTGACCAGTCCACCCAGACAAAAGACCTCTTAGAGGAGAAGGGACATTCCCAATGAGGCAGCCTCATGAAAAAAAAGTGAGAAGGAACTAATCATCCATACAGTAATGGAACTGAAATCCCAGACTGTGGATGTGACAAGCAAGTGTTTCCATGACTTAGTTGAAGATAAAAAAAAACTCTCCATCTTGAAGTAAGGAACCACCAGATAGTGGTTAAAGAAGAAAGGTCAATGATGGGACTTCCCAGTGTTTTTGAAGACTACAAAAAATTGAGAATAAAACCTAGGAGAGGAGCAAACAACCCTCTTAATGACTCTCATAACCAATCTGAAGGAGGAGGAAAAGCAACAGGAAAAGTGGACAGAGACGAGATGTGAAGTAAATGGCTACGTGTAAGAACCTGTTCAAGAACTATTTTATGCAAATTCATAAAAAAACAGTAACAACAATTCAGTCTGATAAAGCAAAAATATTTTGTTAATTTTGTAATTACTCATTTGTGCATTATTGTACTGATGTATTATTATTAGTTTTTAATGACAATGTTGTTCTATCTAGTATGAAACAACCATCACAATAATATTCTTGCCAACTGGGTATATCCTTTTAAATTTTTACATGCCACACAGGATATTTAGGAATGCTTGGCATTGGGCATGGATTAATTTTATGTTCTGGTAACATTGTGAATACTTTTGAAAACAAGACGTAAAGAAAGATTAGGGAAAATTATGGACTAGCACTATGTCAATGAATACTACTTTAATTAGTATGTTACTACACTTAAAATTTACATATAAGACACACTTAAATAAAACTATTTTTCTTTTTTTTTTATGACATTTCATCCCTTAAATGTTTTATGTGGTCATGTCTTGTTTGTCATAAAAAATAAACTTAAATTTGCTTTTTATATACCCATTCAAAGTATTCATACTGAAGTATGTTACTACTCTCCCTTGTTTGATTTTTTTGTGCATATGTTGAGACACAAAGTTTTGCAAAGGCTATGAGAGCAATTGTTACACATTATTTCATTTAAGCATTAATGTTTTCATGAAAATAACTTTATTTCAATAAACTCTTATTACTGTACAAACTCAAAACTAAGAAATTATTTTTCAGTCTGACTATACTTTTTAAGACAGAAGGCACTCATTTCCACAACACTTTTACCGCTTACATAGTTAAAACATCAAATCACAATCTTTCCTGCATGTTTATGTAGTAACTAATATGCTAAAAGTAAAACAGTTGCTGTCACAATAAATGTCATTAACTTGGAAATTCAACTTTCAAGTATTTTGTTATATTCAGGAAACAAAATTTCTGAATTGTAAATTTTCATACAGAAGAACTAAACTGAACGTCAAACTTACTTGTAGTAGTAATGCAGAGGTTAGAATCCCTGTATTATGCATAGTGTATTGAAACATATATCAGCAATGGAGATAAAGCAAAAGTCTCAAACTTACCTTTTATATATTCTGCAATGTGTACAGCAAGACCACTTCGAAATGCATCATCCATGATACTGATAAGCTTACACTAAGTTCAAGGTCGACCTTAAGACTTAGAGTCGAGCAAAATAAAAAACTCAAAGTATAACTTACAAGTTATATAAATTATAAGTCAGTTAACCTCTTTATAACTGTAAAGTTGTGTGCAATTTGTACGTAACTTGTAGTTGTAATGCAAGTTTAGTTTATTCGAATATTAAACTTTATAAGCACCAATAAAAACTCTAACTTCCAAGTCTTAATAATCAGATGTTTAGCGATTAGCTTTTTGTTTTTCCCTCTTACGATTGGTAATATTAATAAATTATCACCAGTAACCCTTGAGTTTGGTAAAATGGTATTTATCTACGATTTTAATATTAGTTATTAACCTAACAGTAAAATCCGACTGTGACGTCAATAAATAATAAAAACAATACTTTTAACAAATACTTTGCTGGCTCTATTACAGTTTTTGTCATATGAACAACTGTCACTGTAAGAATTTCACGCAAGTTTGTTAAATTTAATCAGTCTTCCATAATAAAACAAATTATTTACAAACAAGTCCCAATTTTTAAAACACACTTCGGCTGACATGCATTTCCCACTCAGCCATTTTACTTTAGAATATATTTGTGTCAATTCAAATTGGTCTGGAGTCAACCACGTGAATATCTTAACCAATAACGAATCACTGTTTTCAAGCATCTAGTGGGCGACATCTATTGCCTTGTTTGTATTAAGAGTTGATAATAGAGTTAGAAAAAACGACCATTACAGTCCAGGTAGCCTGGCATGGCCAGGTGGCTAAGCAGCTCGACTCGCAATCTGCGGGTCGCATGTTCGAATCTCCGTCCCACCAAATATGCTCGCCATTTTAGTCGTGGGGGCGTTATAATGTGACGGTCAATCCCATTATTCGTAGGTAAAAGAGTAGCCCAAGAGTTGGCGGTGGGTGGTGATGACTAGCTGCCTTCCCTCTAGTCTTACACTGCTAGATTAGGGACGGCTAGCGCAGATAGCCCTCGTGTAGCTTTGCGTGGAATTCAAAACAAACAAAAATTAGGGACGGCTAGAGCAGATAGTCCTCGTGTAGCTTTGCGCGAAATTCAAAACAAAACCCCTTTTATTTATAGATAAAATCGATTTCGATCACGAAGCCTTCGACTCTATAAAAGGTTTGGCTTTAGCAATTCGATTAACCGCCACTAATAATGTTTGGTCTTATTTAGTGATCGTGACTATTGTGTGACTTCAAAGTAAGTCACAAATTCATTGATGACTTCTGAAGTAGGTCTTTGACTCGAAACTTTCAGATGAATAATCAACAATATTGTGTATTGGTCCTCCAGTGGGTCAACGGTAAGTTTAAAGGTTTAAAACGCTAAAATTCGGGGTTCGATTCCTCGCGGTGGACCTAGCAAATATGATAGATAAATAATCAACAGTGCTGTGTGTTTGTCATCCGGTGGGTCAGTGATAAGTCCATGGATTAATAACTCTACAATCCGAGATTTAATTCCTTACGGAAGCCCACTTGAAAATTATTTCGCTTTACGCTAGAACAAACACTCTGTTGTGTGAACTTTCATTTAGGAATACCTTTATTTCCAAAACATTTGGAATGATTGATATATTATAAATGCTACAATTGAAAATTGTGTTAAATAACTATAGGCATTAAGAATAATTCGAAAAAGCAAGAACGATACTCGTGGTGAGCAGAGCACAGATAGATAGCCAATTGTGTAGCTTTGTGCTTAATTACAAACAAACTCTGAAATAGAACGTAGAAGTATACTTACATGTTTTTAGAAAGTGTTGTTCAGGCAACAACTATTTTAAATACCTAAAATGCAGGGTTAGTGTCTGGATATTTCCAATTGAAGTTTCTAAAAAACATAGTATAGTCCTTGTTTTACCCTAAAACGTAATTTCAGGTGTTCTTTTTATAACCAAGAGCAGAAAATTAATATACAACAATAAATGCAAGAAAGTACAAAATTTTTAAATATATAAAAGTTACAATACAACATCTTTTTTTTTTTCATTTTAGGACGAACAGAATCTTTTATTTTACTTTTCGAATTTATGAAAGGTGTTTAAACAGCTGCTTTGAAGTTACGATCTTGGACTTATTCTTTCTTATCCTATCTTACGTCAATAAAATGTGTATTCAAAACCAAGATAAACAGATCTTTTACTGATACACATCTGACTGTCATAGCATAAAAGCTGTAATACGTAATTTAGATAACAAATTGTCCGTAATTAGTAATAATTGATTTACATGCTACTTACGAGGCACCAGGCTGGGGGCTTTTCCCCCGATGAGCTCGCTTTATCCGAGAGGATTCTGCCATTTTCCCTAAGCCCTTTTTTGCATACTTTTCTATTTTTATTCATACCTTCATTGTATATGCTCCCACGTTCCTGTACTTCCATGTCTACTGAACTTGTGCGTGCTGGGCCTCTGGTGGTCTTTTCTTTCATGCTCTATTTACATCCTTTCATTTTGTTTTCAGACAGATAGTTGAAACATAAGTGAAGACTCGTCGCGTAAAATTTTCCATTCTTCCCCTACGTTTTTCTTTGGTATCAACACTTTTTTTCTTTGTTCATTTTTGAACTTGTGTATACCTAAAGCCATATATTTTAGTCGCTGTTATATACATACATATATATATATATGTATTTATAGGCTGTGTGAACACTCGTTTTTTAAACTTGCTCCTTCTTGCGTGGTTTATTTACGACATGCATAAATAGTTGGAAACTGAACTCTGAACTCCTGAAGAATGCTATCATTTTAATATGTATGTATATAGGATAACTTTTAATGTCCTGTAGAGCTGTCCAGTAAAACTGAGATTGAATTGATTTGTTTTCATGCATGTATCATTCTCATTTATTACAGTTGTGCACAGAATCATCATTTTAGATGGTAACAGAAAGTTTTAGTTATCAAAAAAATCTCTTATCGAATGAATAACGTCTGCTATTAAAACAACCAAATAATTCAAACAAATAAACATAATATAAACAGTTGCTACTTTAAAATCGAAGAAAATATTATTTGTAGTTCGAACGTAAACAAAACATGCGTCCTAAAGTTAGGTTCAACTTTCAGCGCACTTTAAATAAACTGGTTTTTACAAACGTATAATAGCCAATCCGAAAAATAAATAAATCGATATTAAATAAAAGAAAGAAACTGAACCATGAGACAGTTACATAATGGGAACTGCTGTCAGGTTTATTGAATTTGTTTGTTTTTGAATTTCGCGCAAAGCTACACGAGGTCTATCTGCGCTAGCCGTCCCTAATTTAGCAGTGTAAGACTAGAGGTAAGGCAGCTAGTCATCACCATCCACCGCCAACTCTTGTACTACACTTTTTAGTGTAGTGGGATTGACCGTCACATTATAACGCCCCACGGCTGTAAGTACGAGCATGTTTGGTGTGATGGGGATTCGAACCTGAAACCCTCTGATTGCGAGTCGAGCGGCCTAACCACCTGGCCATGACGGGCCATAATGAATCTGACAAGCTATATAGTCACAACAACAAATATAACCCTTGTTACTTCTTGATGATGTAAAACTACTTAAGTTTTGTAAGTGTAATCAAAGTTCGAACTATGACACTCAGGAGTTCCCACAGACAATTTTTATCACAACCCCCATTTTATTAAAGAACTTGTTTCTTTTAAAGTCAGAATCTAAAATTCATAATTTAGCATTTAAATTTATAATTTATCTTTTTTTTTCTGACAGTGAGAGTATTACTTTGACTAATTCTTGAAAAATTAACTCTTTAAACTCGAGCGGACGCTATCAGTGTCCGCCTGAAAAATCCGATCTACCCATCAGACGGTAACAGCGTCCGATAACATTTATGTCCCTTTGGCTAAAACTACTCCAAACCATGTTATTATCCACCTTTTATAAATAGATGAGAAACTGTATAATGTATGGTGATAATTATTAGGACATCATGAAAATAATTCCAGCAGAACGCACAAAAAATTATGAGTTTAAAAAGAGTTAAAATTCGTATTTCATTTCTTTTTGTAGCTCAAGGAAACTACCTTGTGACGTCACAACCCACATGCTCATGATAAACTTCTCTCTCATCAATTTTGATAAAAGAGTTAGCACAAAGGATTACATATAAAGTGTAATAGACTTAAAATAAAACCCAAAACTCGAGCACTTTCGAATAGTTGACTATTCTTCTTCAGGAGAACAAAGAAGAATAGTCAACTATTCGAAAGTGGTC